TAAGAGTTTTTCAAAGAAAGACCTCGGTGAAGCTGCTTACACATTAAGCATCAAGATCTATATTGATAGATCAAAACGCTTGATAAGATTTTTCAATGAGTACATACCTTGATAAATTTTTGAAATAGTTCAAAATGGAACAGTCAAATGAAGGAGTTCTTGCCTGTGTTGCAAGGTGTGAAGTTGAGTAAGACTCAAGACCCGACCATGGCAAGAAATAGAAAGAGAATGAAAAGTCATTCCCTATGCCTCAGTCATAGGTTCTATAAAGTATGCTATGCTGTGAACCAGACATATTGTATACCTTGCTCTGAGTTTTGCAAAGGAATACAATTTTGATCTAAGAGTAGATCACTGGACATTGGTCAAAATTATTCTTAGTGGAATAAGGATATATTTCTCGATTATGGAGGTGACAAAAAGGTTCGTCGTAAAGGGTTACGTTGATGTAAATTTTGGCACTGGTCCAGATGACTTTAAGTCTTAATCTGGATACATATTGAAAATGGGAGCAATTAGCTAGAGTAGCTCCGTGTAGAGCATTGTAGACATAGAATATTTGCAAAATACATACGACTCTGAATGTGACAGACCCATTGACTAAGCTTCTCTCACGAGCAAAACATGATCACACCTTAGTACTCTTTGGGTGTTAATCACATAGCGATGTGAACTAGATTATTGACTCTAGTAAACCCTTTGGGTGTTGGTCACATGACGATGTGAACTATGGGTGTTAATCATATACAGATATGAATATTGGTGTTAAATCACATGGCAGTGTGAACTAGATTATTGACTCTAGTGCAAGTGGGAGACTGAAGGAAATATGCCCTAGAGGCAAAAATAAAGTTATTATTTATTTCCTTATTTTATGATAAATGTTTATTATTCATGCTAGAATTGTATTAACCGGAAACATGATACATGTGTGAATACATAGACAAACATATAGTCACTAGTATGCCTCTACTTGACTAGCTCATTAATCAAAGATGGTTATGTTTCCTAACCATAGACATGTGTTGTCATTTGATTAACGGGATCACATCATTAGGAGACTGATGTGATTGACATGACCCATTCCGTTAGCCTAGCACTTGATCGTTTAGTATATTGCTATTGCTTTCTTCATGACTTATACATGTTCCTGTAACTATGAGATTATGCAACTCCCGTTTACCGGAGGAACACTTTGGGTGCTACCAAACGTCACAACGTAACTGGGTGATTATAAAGGAGTACTACAGGTGTCTCCGAAGGTACATGTTGGGTTGGTGTATTTCGAGATTAGGTTTTGTCACTCCGATTGTCGGAGAGGTATCTCTGGGCCCTCTCCGTAATGCACATCACTATAAGCCTTGCAAGCAATGTAGCTAATGAGTTAGTTACGGAATGATGCATTACGTAACGAGTAAAGAGACTTGCCGGTAACGAGATTGAACTAGGTATTGGATACCGACGATCGAATCTCGGGCAAGTAACATACCGATGACAAAGGGAACAACATATGTTGTTATGCGGTTTGATCGATAAAGATCTTCGTAGAATATGTAGGAGCCAATATGGGCATCCAGGTCCCGCTATTGGTTATTGACCGAGAGTAGTTCTAGGTCATGTCTACATAGTTCTCGAACCCGTAGGGTCCGCACGCTTAACGTCATGATGACAGTTTTATTATGAGTTTATAAGTTTTGATGTACCGAAGTTTGTTCAGAGTCCCGGATGTGATCACGGACATGACGAGGAGTCTCGAAATGGTCGAGACATAAAGATTGATATATTGGAAGCCTATGTTTGGACATCGGAAGTGTTCCGGGTGAAATCGGCATTTTACCGGAGTACCGGGGGGTTACCGGAACCCTCCCGGGGGTTATTGGGCCTTCATGGGACCTAAGGGAGAAGAGGAGAGGAGGCAAGAGGTGGGCTGCGCCCCCTCCCCTCCCTAGTCCGAATAGGACAATGAGAGGGGGGCGGCGCCCCCCCTTTCCTTCCCCTCTTCCTCCCACTTCCCCCTTCTCCTACTCCAACTAGAAAAGAAGGGAGTCCTACTCCCGGTGGGAGTAGGACTCCCCCTTGGCGCCCCCTCCTTGGCCGGCCGCCCCCTCCCCCTTGGCTCCTTTATATACGGGGGCAGGGGGCACCCTAGAACACACAAGTTGATCTACGGATCGTTCCTTAGCCGTGTGCGGTGCCCCCCTCCACCATATTCCACCTCGGTCATATCATCGCGGAGTTTAGGCGAAGCCCTGCGCCGGTAGAGCATCATCATCGTCACCACGCCGTCGTGCTGACAGAACTCATCCCCAACGCTTTGCTGGATCGGAGCCCGGGGATCGTCATCGAGCTGAACGTGTGCTGAACTCGGAGGTGCCGTACGTTCGGTACTTGGATCGGTCGGATCGTGAAGACCTACGACTACATCAACCGCGTTGTCATAACGCTTCCGCTTACGGTCTACGAGGGTACGTGGACAATACTCTCCCCTCTCGTTGCTATGCCATCACCATGATCTTGCGTGTGTGTAGGAATTTTTTTGAAATTACTACGTTCCCCAACAAGTTTGTCAGTAAAAGATGATATTGTATTGAATATTATATTGAATCCCAAATCACTAGGTTCGCCTACGGCGAGGATATGACATTCACACATACGACTTTCCCCTCCCCTCCGTAGGTTCGAAACCCTACTCGCCGCAACGACCCCCCCCCCCACTGCAGATCTCCTCTGGCCACTGCCGCCTCCGGTGCCAGTGATGGTGGCGGCTCCCAGTCGCCAAAGGCGACAGAGGTGGTTGGCGCGCCATGGCAGGCCTCCCTCGCGCGGGGGAGCGAGGCCATGGGGGCTGCGCGGGGGGTCTTCCCTTGGGTGTCGGAGCATGACGAGGAGTGTGCGGAGCATGGCCGGGAGTCGGCAGCGGTGGTCACGACAGGATGTGGTCTTCTGACAGGCGTGGGCAACAAAGGCAGCATGGTGGGCCCTGGAGGCAGCGGTGCGGCGACCTCGTCCTGGTGCGTCGTGCGAGCGGCTGCCGGCGAAGGACTGCGGTGTTGGTGCCATTCGTCGTCGGCGTTGCAAGCATGGTGTCGGAGGCTACAAGGTGGGCGCTTTGTGGCGGTGGGTGGTCTGGATTTGGGACCTCCCGATCCTGGTAAACAGGGCGCGATTGAGGCTTGGTTGGCTGCCTGGTGGTGCGGGTAGCCGCGAAATGTGGCTAGCTGCTGCTTGTGGCCCTAGCGATGGTGGTTGGGGCAGGTGCTGGTGGCACTGACGATGCTGATTGGGGCAAGAGCAGGCGGCCTTGAAGACGGAGGTTGGAGCAAGAGGAGTGGTTGGTTCACGGTCACGGCTGGAGGTGGTTGATGGTTGCGTCTCCTCGGTGCGGGTGTCAGTGTTCTGCAATGATTTGGTCACAACGACGAGGCGTTGCGATGGTGGCGGTGCATCCCTTCACAAAGTGCTTGGCCGTATTCCTTTGGGTTGGGCGGGAGGTGCTGCGACGACGGCGGTGCATCCCTTCACGAAGTGCTTGGCCATATTACTTTGGGTTGGGTGGGAGGTGCGCGACGGTATGGATGAAAATCCTACACAACCTTGGCTGGTGCTTGCGACAGCGGCGCCTATGGTTGTTGTTTCCCTACGTGGAGGTGTCGCGGTTGTATGCCGGCATCTTCCCCCTCGCTAGGATTGTCTCCGCGCGAAAGTCTTGGTTCATTATTGGACTAGCGATGGCGGTGTCTCGGCAGCGTTACTCCGTTGGGAGCATCATGTTTGGAGACTGGGTTTCAAGGCTTGTGTTGTGGTTCTCCGGTGCTGGCCGCTGGTTCGAGCAGTTCTTCTCGGGCGCTATGTACGCAGCTGCCAGAGTATCAAGACGGTGGCTTTCTCGGGTTCGACTGAGTCCCGCTATCCATTGACCATCTCCTGTTAGGCATTCATGGATGGTTAGTGTGTCTGACAAGGTAAGCTCGTTTGCAGTTGTTGTTCTTGGTGGTGTTTGGTGCTGGTTGAGACATGGCTAGATGATGTGCTTAGGATAGGCTCCTTTGGATTATGTCTGTATCTGTTGTAGTTGTAGTGTGCATGAGTGTGGAGTTTCAGCTGCACTTGTTGGTAGCAAGTTGTAGTCTTTTGTCTTCCGCCTTTTTATAAAAATATGATATGCCTAGACGTACTTTTGAAAAAAAAAAGACATTCATCCACACACACAAAAAGATGCACGAATCAAACAATGTGATAACCGCTGCAATTTTATGCATCACACGAATCAAATTCGATGATGCAACAGGAACTGTAAAATTGCTTGTCGATCACATGTAGCCGTACATCCACCCTTCCATGGGAAAAAAATCATACAACGGTACGTACGTGCGATCATGGCGGCCAGCTCTTGGCCCTGCACAAGGATGCCCGGCAATGCTACACATACAAACGATTTACAGGCTTTTACAGGATGGTTAACCTTGATTGGTCAATAAGTGAGCGAGGCGGTCCACCCCCTGAAAATCAGGGGGAGAGAGGTTTGTGATTGGTTGTTAGATGGAAGGAGCGTGTAAAAGCGTGTAAGTCTTTGTATGTCTAGCATTTTTACAAGGATGCCCATCTCGCCCAACGCGCGCGCCAGCTCCGTGCGGTCCGCAATAACCTTCCCCGTGGACAAGTCTGGGACGATGGTGAAGGCGAGGAGGCCGCGTCGCAGCCATGGACCGGGAGGATGGAGGAGAGTGGCGCCGCCGTCACGCTGCCCGTCGACGCGGCGCTCGGCCATGGCGGATGGCTTCGGGTCCGCACGGATGGAGGACTCCATACGTACGGTCTTCATCACGTAATCCTTTTCGGCAGTTTCAAGTTTCCTGATTCCTGATCGGGTACTAGTTGGAGTCCGCATCCAACACGTACTACCAACGTGTCCTTCTCCCACCGAGCTCCCGTCCCGTACGCGCTCTATATGTGCCGCCGCCGCCGCAAGCCTTCCTCCGATCCACCGTTCGCTTCTCGCCATGTTGGACGGCGTCGTGCCTCGCAGGAGGAGGATGGACGGCGCCATGCCGCAGGAGGGCGCCGGTGGTGGATCGTCTTCCGGCTCGGTGCCGCCCGCGGGCCAGCGCGAGAACGAGGCGGTGCCGCGACCTGGATACGACGAGGAAGAACGGAAGCGCAAGGGGAAGATGCCGGCCGTGGACCAGAGCCTGCCGCCGCCGCCGCCGCCCGTCGAGAAGAAGCTCATGGGCGACGCCATCCGCGCCCACGCGAACGCGAGCACGTCGCCGCCGCTCCCGGCATGGAAGGACGTCCCGTTCGACTACGGCGCCGTGAGCCAAAGGCTCCGCGACGTGCTCGAAGGCCTCGGCGTCGTCGCTGGCGCCGGCCCCGTGTGCGTCTACGAGAAGGAGATGACCGTATCGGACAGGGGCAAGGACCAGAACCGCCTGCTGATATCGTGCAAGGACAACGGCAGCAGCAATGGCGGTGACGACAGGAGCAGCAAGAAGAGGAAGAACAAGGGCGGCGGTGGCGACGGTGACGAGCATCGCGCGGCGGCGAATTTCCGCAAGATTTTTACGGCCAAGGAGTTGCTCATCGTGCACCAGGAGGAACAGAAGCAGGAAGCGGAGGGGGTGATGATGAAGAAGAAGAAGACGACGACGACGGAGGGGGATATGGACAAGGAGAAGGAGAAGCCCGGTCTGGGCGTGCAGGCGTACGACCGCGACGGCGAGATGTACCAGCTCAAGTGCAGGCACCTCATGTGCAACAGCGCCTACCGGATCATCAAGGACTACGCGCGCTTCCTGGAGAACAACGGCCTGCTCGTCAGGAGGGACAAGCGGAAGCGGTCGCCGGAGGCAGCAGAAGGCAGCGACGGCGGACAGGGCGGCTCGCCGCTCGCCGTGGGGGCGGGCACGGAGGGCAAGAAGAAGAGGCGGAAGGGCAAGGCGCCGTCGCCGGAAGCGGCAGGCAGCGAGGGGCAGAGCAGCTCTCCGTCGCCCGAACCCGACGGCGGGGAGCACAAGGTGCGCCCTGCCCGCATCGAGCTGTGGGCGTTCCGGTCGCCCAAGCTGACGCAGGGGTGCACCGACCACGCGGACGGCAAGCTCGGGCTGGTCCTGCTGCACTACCTCGAGGCCGACGGCGCCGAGGCCGAGCTTGCCGCGGATGAGCCTGAGCCGCGTAGTTCTGAGGAGGAAGATGCCATGGAACCGGCGGCAATGCCCAACGTGGGTGAGGCTGCGGCTGCGCACCAGATGGCCGTGGATGTGCCGGACGTGGTCGTCGAGGACGGCGCGGGCGCGCATGAGGACGCCGCCGTTCATGCCCACGCGGACGCCGTGCCCGTCATAGAACCGGCGATGCCCGACGTGGGTGCGCACGAGATGGCCGTCCATGTGCCGGACGTGGTCGTCGAGGACGACGGCGCAGGCGCGCATGAGGACGCCGTTCATGTCCATGCGGACGCCGTGCCCGTCATGGAACCGGCGATGCCCAACGTGGGCGCGCACGCGATGGCCGTCCATGTGCCGGCCGTGGTGCTGCCTGTCCTCGCCGTCGCCGGTGCACACGAGGAGGACGCCGTCCATGCCCCCAACGAGGACGCCGTGCCGGTCATGGACGCGGACGAGAGGACGCGACTACTAGAGGCTGCAGAGGGGTTGCTACTGTTAAGTAAGGCACCAGTAGTTTTCTAATTTAGCTCTACGTATAAGTTGCCTGGAAATTCAGTTTGATTCAGTCGGTTTTTTAAGCTGTTGATTTCTGCTTCAAGATTCGTGCTCTTTCTTTTTTCTGCTTTTCTTTTTGACTCATGTTTTGGGCCTAGATTTTCAACCCGCCACTGTTTTGAGTAAGTCGATTTCATATTGGGCTGAAACCCATTTCGTGTTGCCTGTTTATAGGCCTGCATTTTTTGCTTTTCTTTTCTAATCGTTTTTATTTATGTGTATTTGTGGATGTTGGGTGAGTGCAAAATGTGCACATGTAAGTAATTTATATATTTGAACTCCCGGCGCAAAAACCTTTAGAACTAGACCGATCCTGGATACATTTCAAACACGCTTAAATTTTTAAAGAAATAATAACATGTGAAACTGCTTATTTGGAAATGTGTAACATTTTATTCCAAAATTGTGAAGTATGTCATTTCACAAATGTGTAGTTGAAATTGATGTGATTTTTGTGAAACAAGCCAGTAACATATTTTAGAATTGTGAAAATAACTATATAGAGTGAATTTGTAATGTATGATTTTGAAACTATTTTTTTTGGAAATGTGAAATAGTCTATTTCAAAAGTGTGAGATATGCCAGTTTAACGTGCTATTGAAATGTACGTGATATTTGTGAAACAAGCAAGCAACATATTTTAGAATTGTGAAGTAACAACTACACAAAGTGAAATTTCAATGTACGATTGTGAATCTGATTATTTGAAAATCAGAAATAGTGTTTCAATAGTGTGAAATTGTAATATACGATTGTGAGGCCGACTATTTGAAAATATAACATATTTCACTCTTTTGAAATAAACTATTACAGATTTCCAAATAATCAATTTCATAACTATACATTACAATTTCATTTTCTGTGGTTACTGTTCACAATTAAAAACACGAGTTACTATTTCACAATTAAAAACACTTTCACTTTTCAATGCCTTGTTTCACAAAAAAACATCTATTTCACTTGAACATTTGTCAATGTGTAGGAAGAAATGTGTTTTAACGCATCGATCCAATGGTGCATTCTCATTTATCTTCTTTGTGTGTTTTGGGACCATTCTATACAAGGGTCGAATTTGGGATACGAGCAGACATTTGGTTAAGCGTTTTTGGAATGCAATTTCCATATGTTGGTATATTACTCTCGCTGTTTTAAAAAAAACATGGTGATTCATCTATGGACATGCCGCCCTCAAAATAATCCGGTGGGGCATGTCGATGGTACGCACGAGGTCAGAAGGTTGCCGTTAGTCATTTGGGGTATGTCCGGTAAACCTAAGATTGGCACGAACATAATGTTAGTGGGGAAGGAGGCACTCATACTAGGGAATTGGTCGGTGGCACCAAAAATGTCATGGTGGAGCCTCTGATTGGAGTCAAAGAATAAGGGATTATAGGGGGGGGGGGAGGGGGCCGGCGTCGTTGATTAGGAGTAGAGGGGATGAGTAGCGAGGTTTCAAGGGCATGTATCGTACATGCATGAAAGTTTTGTCATAAATTTTCGGACAACCGTGGATCAAAATATGAGTGCAATATTTGTGTTCTGAAATTGATTTTATTTTCCATTAATTTTGAAACTGAGTTCTGAATATAATTTTTGTTGTAAAATATTCATGTGAGATTAATCACATTTTTTTTTGGATTGTTGTGTTGTATTATAATTTCTAAAGTATGAGTAATTTTTAAGATTTGTGAAATCAATTTGAGGAATATATATACGAGATATAAGTATTCGGAATATGAGCAATTGTTTTGCAAAATAGTCCAAAAAAAAAGGAATATGAAGCCAAGTGAAGCTTATCTATTCTGAAATATTTTGTTGAAACTGAAATATATGTGTGAAATTGGTGACCTTTTGACATGTGTTGTTGATTTTTTTTATATATGAACAATAATGCGTGAAAGCAAATGTTATTAACATTGAGATGAACTCAGTTTTAAGTAGTGGAATCACTTACTTAAACAAATGAAATATATCAACTAATTGAAATAGTGATGTTGTGTAAATGAATTGGATAGTTAAATGTTGTTTCAAAAATTGAAATCACTGCTTTTTTAAATAGTAAAATATTTTCTATTTTTTTATATCACTAATTTAGAATACTTGTAATATGTGATATACAAAATGTTCAAATAGGTCAAATTTAAATGCGTACTTAAATTCAAATTATTGAAGTTGTTACTGAAATTGAAAATCGAACATATTGAAGTTGCTACTGAAATTGAAAACTGGAATTACTGAAATTTTAATACCATTGCAATAACTAAAATATGCAATCTTTGTAATACTTTAAATAAGTGAAATTTAAATGTGTATTATAAATCATAATATTGAGAGATTACAATAATATAAATAGGTTGTGAATTTGAAATATTTTGAATAAGACTTGAAAATTTTGCTGAAATTTGAAATATGAAATTATTCAAATAGGTTGTGAATTTGAAATTGTTTCAGAATATATTTTATTATAAGTTTATGTTTGTGAATTTTAAAATTCATTCAAATTTTGGGTGCGAGATGATATTTCTAGCGGGAGACGAAACTTTGGGCGGGAAACGAAATTTTGAGAGAGGGAGAGAAAGAGGAGGGTGTTTGCGACTTGGCTTGAGGGGACGCGTAGTTGAATGTGAAAGATGGATTGAGTCATGATGTCATCAAACCATTTGTTTCGAAGCATCTGAATCCTCTGTCGAAGACGACATGTATGGTCGTCCTCATGATCATGTGGCGGGCGTGGTACATCCGCAATGAAATTACCCACGACAAGGCTCCTCCATCGTAGAAGCATCCGGGCGTTTTCTTCAAAGGTACATCACCTCTTTGTTGTGCATCCACCAATTCGCACATGCAGACTTGGTGAAAGGTAAAATGATTGTGCATGAAGTTGGTCGGCCTATACATGCAAGTGGTGAGAAGGAGCCAACGCTTCGGTGGGTACCCCCTCCACCCGGCTGGACAAATTAAGCTCAACACCTACGAAAGTTTTGTCCAGGCCACATGCGCAGCAGGTGGTGGTATGGTCCTGAGAAATGAAAAAGGTGAGCTCATCTTCACAGCATGCAGGCAGTTGTTTACATGTGATAATAGCCTCCAAGCGGAGTTGGAAGCATGCAGGGAGGAACTGCAGCTGGCCTTGCACCGTACAAACATGCCCATCTTGGTGGAGTTGGATAGTATTGAAGCGGTCTCGATGTTGTCAGCACAGTCGGCGAATCACTCACAAGTCCGAGCGCTAGTCGAGGAGATACATGGAATAGTAGCTGTTGAATCAAGGGATATTTCCTTTTCTCATATTAGTAGATCACAAAATAATGTCAGTCACGCGCTCGCCATGTATGGATGTAGTACCCCGCGCACAGCAGTTTGGTTGCGATCGGGATTAGACTGCATTTTAAATCTTTCAGAGGCCGAGAAGCCTCATTGAGTTAATTAATTCTTCCTTTATCCCGCAAAAGAAGAATAAGAATATGATGAATTATGTATAGACACATTCGACACCCGAAACAAAAGGTTGTATGGTGTGCCATTGGCATCAGGCCAAATTGCAACGACATCAAGCACATATGGAAGATCAATGTACCACCATAGCTCCCAACATTGCTGCAACCATTCGTGACCTTGTCTGGAAGATTTGTTATATCAGGAATGCTCTGGTTCTTAGGAAATGCCTCTTAAGGGCATTTCTAACCGATCCCCAATAAATAGTGGAGGATCCGGCCGAGTAAACCCTTAGTGGAGTATATTTATTCCACTAAGTTTTGGCCGGACCTAGCCGATCTGCTATTTTAATAGAGTAATTTTTTTCTAAACTTTGCAATTCTAGTATGAATTGCAGCCACATATTAGCACATATATAGAAACTGAACATAAATTTGAATGTTCAAGCAAATCACGAATATAATTTTTTGCCGGCGTGCATGAGGACGCCATTCATGCCCATGCGGATGTCGTGCCCGTCATGGAACCGGCGATGCCCAACGCGGTGCTGCCTGTCCTCGCTGGTGCACACGAGGAGGACGCCGTCCATGCTCCCAACGAGGACACCGTATCGGTCATGGAGGCCGACGAGAGGATGCGAGAGCTAGAGGTTGCACAGGGGTTGCTACTGTTAAGTGAGGCACCAGTAGTTTTCTAATTTAGCTGCACTTAAGTTGCCTGAAAATTCAACTTGAGTCAGTCGGTTTTTTGGCATGTTGATTTCTGCTTCAAGATTCGTGCTCCTTATTTTTATTTTCTGCTATGTCATGTTTTGGGCCTAGATTTTGGACCGACCACTGTTTTGAGTCAGTCGATTTCTTATTGGGCTGAAGCCCATTTCGTGTTGCCTGTTTATAGGCGTACTAGAGTGCTTCCTCACTTCCTGTTTGTCTGCATTTTTTGCTTTTCTTTGTTAGTCGTTTTTATTTATGTGTATTTGTGGATGTTGGGTGAGTGCAAAATGTATACATGTAAGTAATTTATATATTTGAATTCCGGACGCAAAAACCTTTAGAACTAGACCGGTATTGAATACATTTTAAACACACTTAAATTTTAATGTTTCACATTTCATATGTGAAGCAAACAAATTTCACTTGAAAAATGTGAAATAAACCTTTTTCAATGGAAATACGTGGAACCAAAGCTATTTCACTAGAACCATATTCCAAGCCAAATATGAAACAGAAATGATAACTTGTGAAATTGATTATTTGGAAATGTGTAACATGTTATTCCAAAATTGTGAATATGTCATTTCACAAATGTGTAGTTGAAATTGATGTGGTTTTTGTGAAACAAGCTAGTAACATATTTCATAATTGTGAAAAATAACTAGAGAGAGTGAATTTGTAATGTATTATTTGAAACTGATTTTTTGGAAATGTGAAGTCTATTTCAAAAGTGTGAGATATGTCATTTTACAAAAGTGCAATTGAAATGGATGTGATATTTGTGAAACAAGCCAGTAACATATTATAGAATTGTGAAGT